AAGGATATTTATGTAATTGCAAATGTAATTTCAAAATCTTAATAAAGCACTAGCATGACTGCTTAAGGAAAAAAAAATAATAATAATATATACAATTCATCTCATAACATTTGGTAATAACTGTGAGATACTGACTTCAAAACAAAAATAATTGCCCAAAATGAATACTAAACAATTTAAAGAATTTATGGAGATGATGTTAAAATCCAGTACTGATAATGGTAAAAATAAAGTTACATCAAGGAAGAGCAACCTTGTTAAGGTTAAAGTGTTTTATGATACAAATAATGAAGATCTGTTTGAGTAGTTTGATAAGTTTAAACATGTCACTAAAGCCAATAATTAGGCTGAAGATCATAAGTTAAAGATAGCATCAGAATACTTGAAAGAAACAGCTATAGACTGATATAAAAAGAATAAATCTAAAATTAGATATTAGAAAACAGAAAGCAAAAATGAAGAAACAAGAAATCAAACTTTTTATCATTTATTGGTCAAGCAATATGTACCTTCAGAAAGACAGTATTAGTGGCAGCTTAAACTCAACACTTTAATACAGAAGAGTCACAAAAGAGTAGACAACTATGTCACTAAATTTAAGAGGTTACTTAGTAGAGTAAACCCAACCAACTGCCTTCAAATAGGTATATTATTAGGATGTTTTTAAGTGGTCTAAAAGAAAATAATGCCACTTTTGTAGCAGTAGCTGCTTTAAAAAACCTAACTGAGGCAATTGCTGCAGCTAGAAGTGTTAAAGCAGGAAACTATTATAGACAACATGCTCCAAAGGTCTCTAATTCACAAAAATTAGGTGAATTAATTAATATAAAAAAGAGAATAAATGGGTTAGCCTTAAATTATATAATATTGGTGGTCCAAATAAATAAATTAGAAGGTAATTATCTATGAAAGAAACCTACCAAAGAACAACAAAGAAGGCCTACTTGTTTTTAACTGCAGTAAAATAGGATATTATCAAAATGATTATTTTTTAGAAAAAGTAACTAGAATATACTAAAACTTCAGGAATAATAGAAATATAAGAAGCAAACTAAGAAATGTAATTTTTTTTGAATTAGAGCAAAATAATGAGTATCAAAATAAAGAATTATATATAGTTGGGAGAGAATTTACAAAAGAAAGAAATATAATAAAAATATATAGACCAAATTGGAATAATAGACTATGTGAAAGAAAGCTTTTAAAGATTCAAAATAGAAAGAAACAGAAGAGCAAGAAAGAATGAAATTACATAATACAAAATAGAAAATACTAACTCTAAGAATAATAATAAAAGAAAAAGAGATCTATCAATTGTTGATTTCTTAAAACTGTATAACATTGCCAATAATATATTGGAATTATCATCTACTGCAACTCTGGGTTAGATGCTTCAGTATCTCGCTAATATTTTATAAAGATCCTTATATTTTCAAGAAACTAATTTTGTGAGTTCAAAAGAAAGACAAAGGACCACTGCAGCTAGGTGTTATATTAGAATTCAAAATAACTCAGTGTTGGCTGTATTAAACTCAATATAGCTGTAAACATCATCCCAGCAAGATTATTAGATAAACTCAAATTACAAGTAAATAATAAGTTAACCACAGTAGTAATAACAGCAATAGGTGCTAGACAAGAATATTAGAAAAGGTAAATCTAAAGATTATCATACAAGATATAATAATACCAATAACATTATAAGTAATTAAATCATCTGAGAAGACATTACTTCTTAGAACAAATTAGTTTCAGAAAGTTAATACTTGTATACATTTTGATGAACAAAAGTTCTATCTAAAATATTTAGATAAATTAATAAGTGTCCCTATTTTGAATAATAAGATAGAGAATTTGGAGACTAATGACTTCAAAAATTATAAAAGTGATGAAGAAGATAACTTTGATGAATTTGATTATAAAGAGGAAGACAAATTAGAAGAAAATCTTATAAAGGAAAATCTGGCTCTGTATCTTACTAATATTAAAGAAATACTTACAAATAATAAGAAGAAAAAAGAAAAGTTAATTGAAAAAAAAATTTTAACTTTAATTGATAACAAGTTATTAAAGTTAAAACAACAGCAACAAGTGGTAATATTTCTAAAAAAGAAAAGAATATATTTACTCTAAATATTAAAAATTTAAAATGTACTGATATTATAACTTACACTATTTATACTGCCAATGTGCTATCAATCAAACAAGCACTGTATAGACTAGCTCTAAATAAGAATAATTTTTTGTTAAAAAAGAAATAGAGAAATTAAAGAAAAAAAAACTAATACAAAGATCATTTAGTTCATAGGCATCTCTAGTGATAATCATATCTAAAAAAAAGAGAAATTATATCTTTGTATAGATTATTAAAAATTAAATTCTGTAACTAAGAAGAATGCTTCCTCCTTTAATATATTAACAACCTTCTCAATATATTCAGGAAAGCAACTTGGTTTTCTACTCTAGACCTTATGAGTGGGTACTGGCAAGTAGAGGTTATAGAAGAGTATAAAGAAAAAACAACATTTGTAACAAAATTCAATTTATTCAAATTTAATATTATGCTATTTGGTTTATGTAATGCTTCAGGAACATTTTAGCATCTAATGAACAAAATTCTATAGGATTTCATAGGAAATTTCATAGTTGTCTATCTTGATGATATAAATATATACTCAAAAATATTTGAGAATTATGTAAAGTATATTAAGTTAGTTTTTAAAAAACTAAGAACTACAGAGTCAAAATTAGACCTAGATAAGTATAAGTTTTTCTTATCAGAACTTCAGTATCTAGGTCATATAATTAGTGAAGAAGGAGTTAGATCTAATAAGAACAAAGTTGAAAAAATAAAAAACTTTATTATATCAAGTAACCTTTACTAACTAAGAGGATTTATAGAATTAGCATTCTACTACAGATGATTCATAAAGAGATTTGCTAATATAGCCCACCTTCTACATAAATTATTAGAGAAAGATACACCATATAAGTAGGATAATAAACAACAAAAAGCCTTAAAAACATTAAAAAGATATCTTATAATAACTCTTATCCTACAATACTCAAAGTTCAATAGAATGTTTTATCTATATATAGACATCTTGGGAACTGGTCTAAGTGCAGTATTAGCTCAAATAAATAATAATCAAAAAGAATACATAGTGGTCTATACAAGTAGGGCCTAACAAAATCAGAACATAATTATTCAACCTTGGAGCTAAAATGCCTAGCCATCATATAAGCTGTAGAGTACTTTTATTAGTATTTAGGAGCTAAGCTCTTTACATTAATAACAGACCATGCCACTCTTAAATAGCTTCATACTGCAAAACTCAAAGACAAGAGAGCAAGATGAATATTGAGATTACAACTGTATAATTATACCATTGTATACTGAGCTGGTCAGAAACATTTAAATATAAATGCATTATTTCACATGCCTGTATAAAAAAAAAAACTTTTTATATATTGTTACTAGTAGACAGCATAAGAATATATATATATATATTAATAAAAAGTTACTGTTAGTATTAATTATATATGATATAGAATAAATAGTTCTTTATAAATAGGATATTTTTTTTGGTTACTTACTATGGGTAGTTAGGTTGGCATAAAATCTCTGTCAAAAACCCTTAACACATGTGATTGTGAAAGGCATAGCCAGGTGAATGTTAAGATACTGAAGACTGATTTAAAATAACCTTTATTGATATACTCCAATAGTATAGATATATGGGTTATTCAGATCTCTATTATCCTAAAAAAAAAATTTATTTTGGTAACAAGAATAATAATCAAATATTAAGAATTATATAAGGTTAAAATTTAATTGGACCTTGATAATACAAACACTATATTGAAAAAACTTAAAAACAGAAAACAATATCTCAGTATGGTTTATTGATAATAACAAGCTATTCATCTATTTATTAAATGTACCAAGTAGGTAAAAGATTTTATGTATATGAATTACAAAAAAAAATATATATATAATCTTAGAAAAATTATATAAGATAAAAGAGTAGAATAGAGAATGATATTAGAATAAGATCTTTTGTAATAAATGTTTTAAATTTAAACTTAATTTAAAATTCAGTATTGAACTAAAAAGTTCGAAAATTATATTAGAAAAAAAAAAATTCAATATCAAATCTAATTCAGACTAAATAGTTGGTGTTCTGATAAAACAAAAGAAAAAATAGAATCCCTTAAATATTAACAATTAAAAACATATTTAAAAAATCAAATATTATCTCAAACTTTTATTTCATAACAATGCAGAAGCTTACAGGTATAAAGTCACTTCTTTGAAATTAAGAAAAACCTTGTATATAAAAAGATAAATATAAAATTAACTACTTGTTAAGGGTCATCCAAAAATATGAGGTTGAACCCATCCTGTTTTTAACTCATAATCATCTTTTAAAAAGACATTTCAGAAAAGATATTATGTTTAATAAAATCTGCAACAAATATTATTAGTCACAAATATATAAAGATATAAAGAAATATGTCCAAACTTATGATGCTTATCAAAAATAGATAAGAATTTAGTAAAACCCTATTACATCTAATTTTAATTGAAGCCTCATTTTTTAGAATTGGAATTGATATCATTAGACCTCTACTAAATACAATACAAGGAAACAAATATATAGTTGTGATGACAGGCTATATGACTAAATGGCTAAAGACTAAAACTATTGAAGCAGCAAATACAAATGGAATAGTAAATTTTATTTACAAAGATATTGTGTATCAGCATAGTTGTTCCCAGTACTTACTATCTGATAAGAGTATTTATTTTAGAAACAATCTGATAAAAAGAATTTTTGAAAAGATTTAAAATAAATTATCATTTTTTTACACCTTATCATTTACAAACTAATAGATTGATTAAGAGATTTAATAAAATATTCTGTGAATTTATAGCCAAACTTGTGACTAATGTTTGAAAATAAAATTTACTGATACTATCAATCCTATTTGTTTACTATATGACAAAACAGAATACAATCAAGGTGATCTCATTTTATTTGATTTATAGAAAAGAAATGTGTCTTCCAATACATCTAAACAAATTTGAAAAATTATTAGAAAAAACATTTCTATAAAGACTCTTTGAGTTAATAGATAAAGTACTAGAAGCCGGGGACACAGTAATTAAAAAAATCAAATTAGTACAGAGAATAGCCAAAGAAAGACATAATTAGTAACTACAAGTTTTAGAAAAATTAAAAAAAGAAGATCTTGTGTTAGTCTACAAAGCTTTACAAGCAAATTTTAAAAGTTATAAATTATATTACAAAGAAAGTGACTTTTTTTTATTTATAGAGTCTTATCAAAAGAATGTTTAAGCTTTGTATTATTGAAAAAAATATTATTAAGACACTGATAAATCAAAAGTTACTAAAAAAATACTATATATGATAATATATATATATATATATAATAAATAAATATATATATATAAATAAATATATTTTAGTTTCTTTTATATGTGATATGCATAAATAGATGAGGAAGAATGTCATAGGATAAAAGTGATATTTCTGAAACTGCAGTATAAATTATCTAAAAAATTCAAATTAAGATTATAATTATGATTTATGAGAGGAATAATTACACATATAATCTATAAGATTTAGATATTATTGCTAAAAGATTCTAACAATAATGATGCAAATGAAAGATAGAGAAGGTTCAGAAAGAAATAAGAAAACCTGAATGGTCAACAAAGTAAATGTAAAGATTAGTAAGATTAATGAAAGAATTATGAAATTTAGAAAGAGTAAAATTTGTGTAAACTCAAAACCTCTAATGTTATTCAATAATTTAGAAGTTATAAAAAGAACTGTAATTTTACTTTTGTCCAAAAAAAAAAGAATCTTCAAGTTATAAACTATTATTGTTAATAAAATACTTAAAATCCTCCTATATAAATAAATAATTATTACACTAAATCACCATTGTCATGCCTCTAGTAAGTTAATTTATCATATTATCTTTAAGTTATCATTTTATTTAAGAATAACACATACAATTCATTCTGTAACAATATATATGGGACATGCCACAGCAAAAGGGTAGTGGACCAACCAATCAGATTTGAAGAATTTATAATAATAATTTGCTTAAAAGTATTAATTATCTTTCTATCATAAAAATGTTTTTGTTTTGTAAAACCCACTAATAAAAAATGTATTAATTTAAAATTTTTCTTTATTATTAATATATTAAAATTAATTGTGATTATTTTAAGTCATGATTTTCTTAAAATCACATGATTATCCCGCTGCCCTTTTTGCTACGGGTGGTCTCATTGACACCTTGTAACGGCGAGTCAGTCGCTTCGCAATCGGATGCGTCGTGTAACCTACGAATCGGCCTAGTCGAAAAGAGTGTGTTAGATTTGGGGAGTGATGAGTTTATGATTTTAGGTATTATGATGTAGCGTAAGCAGGGAATTATTATGAGACGAATTTTCATTGATCACGAACTATGTTTTTTCTTCGTAGGGCTCGAAGCCTTTATTATATACTTTCTTTACATAGGGCACATTATACACTCTATTCATGATATATCACTTATACGTATCTATTATCCTGCATATACTAATTATAATGTTTATACTAATCATACTAAGTATAATGTTTATACTGATTATAATGATTATACTGATTATAATGATTATACCCTTTATCCCTTATTACGCTGATATCCATTAACAACCCGATACATAATATACAGAGAATACAATATAGCCGTTTATTTGTTACTGCGCCACATCAATCACCTGCTTCCACGGGTTTCCGGAGTTACCATCCTACACTTCACACAATAGTTTTGCAGTCACATAGGACCACGAAACCACGTGCAACAAATCATATCCTGACATATTTAAAGATCATTAAAGAGAAGTTGTTAAGGGAGTTGACAGAATATTGCTTATATTATTGACTAAATTGAGTTTCCAAAGTTTCATTAAGGGTTTCGTCAATTGTCAAGGGTTTCGTCAATCACCAAGCCATTCGTCAGACGAAATATGCTGAAATACGTTCGTCATCGCAAAAATAATTTCGTCAGGCATCATTAACTTCAACCATGCTGTTAGCATACTAACCATT